CCCTCATCTAATTTCTCCTACCTCCTGTTTGTAGGTGGGGAGTGGATTGGGACTCTGACTGCCAGCCAGGCTCCCTGAGTAGGCCTGAGAGTGTTAAGGGGGCGGGACATGGCCTTCATAGCTCCCCTCAGGTTTGTAGAACCCAGGGCCACTGGTGCCAAGTTGAAATCTGCATTGGAACAGCCCAAACATGTAGTTGGGAGGAATGGTCCCTGATGGTTAAGAATTTTAATAAAGTTGTAGCCTCCGCATTTCACCATACTATGGCATACGTGTCTCATTGTTTCCATGTCGTCATCAATGACTGTTGATGCTAACATCCCTAGCTATGCCACTAGTATATGTGGTCTAGTAGCATGACTCTACAACGTTAGCGAGCAAGACCATTATCATTACCATAAAGGTTTGGGAGTCCAAAAGAGGGTTAGATGTCTCACAAGAACAAATTAAATCATAGTCAAACAAAGAAGTTATAATCTATGTTTGACATGACACAACAAGTGAGGGTTAAAAAATAGACAAAAGTAAGCAGTGGGACAGGAGGGAAGAAGAATGACAAGAAGATCATGTTAGGCAGGAAGGCATGTATTTCCATCAAAAATATATTTTTGGTCTTTTTCAAATTACGCTGCCAAAATACCACCACATCTCATGTAGCCATAGTCATCCCACATAATGACAACACCTAACAGAGGGAAAGGACACATCTCCCAAATATGGCAGGGTTGGGAGGTAAAACACACCCCTGCCCCTTGATCTCTCTAATCTGGGGATGCTGCCAGAACCAACTGTCACAGACTGTGCTATCCAATTAGCTGGCGTACTCCACTTAAATAGATGCCAGCTGTGCTGCAAGCCAGGTTAGTATGTTGAGGTTTAAAACACTATCAAACAGGCAGAGCAACAGTGAGACTGCTTCCATTAGCCACCACTTTTATGGTAATTCACCAGCCTGTCTCTAAATTTAGGGAAAGGCCAGTGAGATAGATAATAAAAAATGCTATTTGTCAGTCAGAGACTACAGTTCCACACATTCTAAGAGGGTCTGTTGTCTGCAATGAGACTTCAGGTGAAAACGAAGAAGCTGCTTTCCTGTAATAACGTCGGTGAAAAGAAATGCTGCAAATCTAAAATCTGTCTTAAAGAAATAATTAATTTATTAATTACCTTATCCTTCTGGTTAACTAATGATTATTCTAAAACATACATTCAGTATTCAGAGGTGCAAGGTAAAAAATAATTGTACAACCCCCTAACCCCAAAAGCAAAGTGAAAATGAGCTGGAACAGGTCTTACCCTCTGCTTTTGGTAATATTTCAGCTTCACAGACAATACAATACAGTCCTGACCTGCAAGGTTGGCTGTGTGTTTCCTTCCACAATATAATAAGGCAATAAATAAATTAATGTATTAAACATTTAATGTCTAAATATGTAGGTCATAATTATTTAAAAATAAAAACCATTACTATCAAGTAATATACTAATGAAAATTATTGCTTCAATATAAATAAATAATATTAGAAGCACAAATCCATTTGAATCAATATTTAATTGCTTTAAAATTTACATTAATTGGTAAAATATGTATCATATGAAATAATAAAAATGACTAGACTAATTTATATATATTATATATGAGATATTTTATAATACCGTAGTCTCCAAAAAAGAGGTTGAGCAGCAGACCAAATAAGATAAAACAATAGACTTGACATCATAGACTCCAAACAAAACTTTGAGTGCCAGATTTTAAAATGTATTATTCAAAGAAATTAACAAATTTTGTATTTTAGATGTTTCTCTCTAAATTACAGTGAAATGTAAAGCATCAATGTAGTTTTCTTGTATATTGGAGTTTTATTTTATATTTTAATCTGAATAGCTCAATGTATTTGAAAAGGTTATTATTTCCTGAAATTAGAGCACACCATAAAGTATGGTTTTGTAAAGCATTTAGGACCCAATCCTGCACCTCTTACTTATATAGGTAGCGCCACAGACTTGATCACCTATATTCATGTGATAAGGGCTGCAGCCTGCAGCCCTGGAATTAAAAAAAAAAAACGTATAGAACATCAGTAGAATGAGAGCACTTGTTAATTTTATGGCTCAAAATTACAATCAACGCTCTTCAAATAGTACTTTAAAAGATTAATTTACCAGTCATGAGTAAACAGTTCATTTTAACAAATAGCAGACTACAATTTATGAAGAAAATATAACTAAAACAGTACATTTTTACAGGTAGGATTGCATGTTGTACTAGACCAGACCAGAGGGTTACTCCACATCATGTTGCTCCTTTATTGGCTTCTGGAATGTGAGATGCAGTGTCTGTGTTTTATAATCTATGGTATTAACAAAACTGCTAGTTGATAATATATTTAAATAACATCATTTGTTCCAGAAGAACCCAGAAGTACTTTACAGATTACTGATATTTAGAGTTTACACGAGTTCCGTCAGCTGAGAAGCTGCCAGGCTAGGACATTTGGACTAATACCCTCTCTCAAGAAAATGGCCAGTGAAATTTAATGACCACAAGCACCTAGTGACTTAGTTTTAAGTCTCAGACTAAAAAGGACTTTACAGTGTCAAAATGTTCCCTTGCACCATGCTGGTGGTGTACTACTTTTACTATATAAGGGAAGAGAATTGTCTGCTTAATCACCAATACAACATCTTGTAGCATACGGGGTTTCCTTGGAGGTTTTCAGCCCAAGTACTGACCATTCTCAATTTACAAAATCACATAAGATTACAGAGGCAATCTGGTTACAGGCTACAAAATGCTTAGTCTGGAATTTTTCAAAGGATCCTAAGGCAGTTAGGTGCTGAACTCCCATTAAGCTTCAAAGGAATTAGGATCTTAGGCTCTTTTGAAAAACCCTGCCTTAAAAATTACACACTAATCAAAAATAATAAAGAGTGCTTATGTAGAAAGGAGACATCTATTACAAACTATGGTCTTGATTCTGCAAAGTGCTGAATATTCTTAGGTTCCACTGATGCTAATAAGGCGCTCAGCACTCATTACTACAAATTTTTTAATCCGGAAATAAAAGTGTCTCTACATTACTTATTGAACATTTAAATTACAATAATTATATTAATCAACTAATAAACCATACAGAACCATGCACATTGTACATTATTTCACCTCACAGGAAAAAGGTAGTATAAATATTTTTCTTATATGTTAACAGTTGCCACTACCATATTCAATAACTTCATTCAATCTACTCTTTATATTGTACCTTTCTTTCACAGATGAAGCCATTTCCCCTACTAGCAGCTTTCTTGGTTCTTCGTTTGCATGCTCTTTGCACATTCAGTCCTTTAATAAATTTGGGATTCGATTATTATTTTATGCACAAAAGAAATTAATATTAATTATTGTTTCAGAATAATAGGATACTTTCTATAATTTAGATTTCACTGACTTGAGAAGTCCAAACACAGTTTTAGGTTAGTTTTAGTTTATGACACAAAAAAAATTACGTGCAAAGTAGACAGCTAAGTAACCAATTTACTTTTGTTGTTTTGAGTCACCACAAATCTCTGATCAATTTAAAAATAAAATGCTTTTCAACCATTGATGTATATATACGAGAACAAGAAGCTTGTGTGTGAGCGCAAGCATGTAGGGCTGAATTTATAGTTTTTGCATTTAAAAAAGGCAGCAATACTATCTGGTCTATGATCCCATCAGTTCTCCCAAGCAACTGTGTAACAGTCAGGATTTAAGATGGGTCTGGTGAATATCTGAATGGGAAACTCCAAGGAAATCCCAGTATCTAATGGGAATGGTGATGTTACTTCAATAGGTGGCACTTGTCCTAAGTCAATGTTATTATATATTATGATATTATATATTGATACAGCAACTGCAAATTAACACAGTGCTTGAACATAGATAAGACCAGTTTCATGCGTCAAAGACTTTATAATCAAAACAAGGTAAGACAAGACATACACAAGACAAGACAAAAATTCAGGAGAGGAAGGGTCCAGAGGCTCCTTATGATAAGAAGAGAGAGGAGAGATTTCCTATGAAAGACTTGAAAGAGGATAGAGAGGGTACTTGTGATTCAAGGCACAAAGCCAAAAGTGCTAGAAGATTTTTATTATACATTTAGATTTAAACACAAAAATATAAAAAGGCATTTTCCATGTGACCTTCTGGAGAAGATTACACGAGGCCTTTAAGAGTAGCATTCAAAACCCCACAAGGAGAAGCCTGGCAAACCATGGAGAACTAGGCATTTTGGATGAACCATAAAACTAAGAGTAGCATTTAGATCAAGAATGGTAACTACTGCAGTAGGCCCGAACAAGAAGTCTCCCCCGCCCCCCCCACACCAACCGTTAGGTTTCTTGCAAGAGTTATGAAAAGAAGCTCAGTCCCCAGTATATAAATCTAACATAAGGGTTCCAATGTTAGCTGCTGGCATGAGGAGAGGGAGAAAGAAAATCACAAGCCATTTGATCCACCAACCCCACAACAAAAGTTACTACTGACTGAAGATGGGTAGATCCCTGTGCGGATACAAATTTATACCCACAGATGCAGATATCCACGGATATAAATCGGTATTCACGGAACCACATGGTTCTCCTGGGAACCGCAGCGATGAAAGGAGCAGACCGTGGGACTGCCGCACAAAGGAGCCAGTGCCCTGCACTGGCAGCTCTTCTGGCACAGCTGTACCACCCACAGCCCTGCCCCCGTCCCTTCCACATCTCCAGTCTGGGGGCATGCGTGCCACTTGCACACACTAGTGTGACCAGGGACAACTGCTGGGGAGCCTGGTGCCTGCCCCAGGAGGCGGGGCTGGGGGCGGTACAGCCGTGCCAGAGGAGCTGCCGGCGCGCACTGGCTCCTGGGAGTGGCTGCCCCACGCTCTGCTCATTTTGCGCTGCAGTTCCCGGGAGAGCCCTGTGGTTCTGCGGATACCGAATTATATCCATGGATATAAATTTGTATCCACCCAGGGCTCTAAAGATGAGCTCAATAAAGTAAATATAATACTAATCTGCAGCATTAGGATTTTGTGGAGCAACTATGAGTCAGACTAAATTTGAGTATAGCGACTGTTCTTATGTGAAAGGAGACTATTTTTACTTTATGTAATTTTTTTTCTTTATCTGCTGCAATAGAGGAAACAAGAATTTGAGCCAAAGGTCATGTAATCAATTATAGGTTAGTGCTAAATAATCAAATGCAGTATATGCAAAAGAGATTTAATATTCTACCCATCTTTTACCATACTTGCACACATAAGATTTCATCTTCTTAAAGCAACATTTAATATAGAAAGAAAAGAAGCTGTTTAATTCACAATACTTGATGCAAGAAAACGTACAGTTTTGAACAAGGAGATATCATAGCATTATTTAGTCTGATTATTAAAGAAAACATCACATGTGCAATTCCAACTCAACTCCTGTGCCAAATATATAAATGTCCACATAAATATTTTACATTGTCCCAGGAGTCGTCCCCCCACCCAAATGTACTTCATTAATATAACGATAGAAACAAAAACTAGTTTTTCTCAACCGTGTGTATCATAATGTTTCATCACAGCAAAATCCTTCCTTCTGCATTAATTTTCAATGTCAAATAGTTAATTCACCATGTTAACCTGGGATACACGTGAAGCCCTGGAAATAATTATTCCAAATTTTGTGTTCTTTAAATGTCTAATAGAAGTTATTGCTTTATTTTGTAACATGAACTCTCTTTGCTCTGGTTTTCAGTCTGTAATAATGGCAGTAGGACCAAAATTTAGCACAATATAATCAACAAAAATGTTTGAAATATTTCAAAATAAAATATACACAGAAAAGTTTCAAAGTTCATGTGATATTTTACTTGGTCAAATACAGCATAAGAAGTGCATTTATAAGGTAGAAAAGTGCACTCTTGTTTGGCTGTCATTACATCTCAGAAGCTGACCATAAATAAAAAAGATCATCAAAGCAGCAAATTTTGAAGAGATGTCAGTGATATTAGCTTTTCTCAACTTTCTATTTACACTATGAAACAAAGGAAGAATACATAATAATGTTATTAGTACCATTAACCTTCAAGCAGTCTGCTCAATACTACTCATCTGCTGATATGTTCTTTTTGTGAAGAAAGACTTGAAGGAATGGAAAATGGCTCCCCTAATTTGGGAATCTAGGGTTGCTCTCGTAAATTACCTGGTGCTCGAGGAATGTGCATATTCTGCATATTAATTTTTTTAAATCTAAGATAAATGCACAGAATTATATCTGCTTGAAGTTTTATTTTCCTTGGGGGCTAAACAGCAATTGCTTGCTAGTGTTCAACACCAGATGAATTCAATCGACAACTGATCAACTTTGTCCTCACCCTATAGTTTCAGGTACAGTACTATTGGGTCTACAATTTATGATTCCCTGGGTCTTGTTTGGCTCTTCGGCCATACATTGTGAAGAAGAATCTTAATGAAGTCTGAAGAAAACAGCAGAGCAGTATTATTTGCATATGCAAAATAAAAAAAAATAAAAAAATCAAATCAGATAGAGATAAAATGAAAGTACAATTCCACCATTTCTCTACTAGTGAGGCTACGTAGTCAATAAAAAAGCCTACCAGAAATAGAAGTGATTCATAATGAAGTTCATTTCTAAATTTCCTGTAAAACATGGTAGCTATGGACTAGTACTGCTCAATGAGAAGGAAGACACACCTTTGTTTCGTGATCTGGAAAGTTTACTTTTCTTTTTTCTGGTGTCCATTTCCTGATATTTTTTCTGTTCTACTTCTCCTACTCTAGTAATACTTTCAGCATCGCTAACTGTATTACCCTTAATCTTGTCATTTTGCATTATTATAGCTAATTCTGTGTTCATGTTATCATTACTTTTTATTTCTCCAATTGAGCTTACTACTTTTGAAGTACTGATTTCAAAAAGATCTTCAGCTACAATGCAGGCTCCATGTTCATTCTGATTCACAGTATTATTACATGTTTGAATTAATGGTTCAATTTGCTGTTCCTCTGATTCTATATCATCATAAAGTTCAGGTGTAAAATAGATACTGTCATCCTCAGCTTCTGCTTCTATGGCTACATTTAACATTGAAAGTTCAATTTTTCCTCTTACTGGAGATAACTCAATGCATTGATCTATGACTCTATTAGTGCAGAGTTGCTGTTCAGCAGGATGTTCTTCAGCAGTTGCAGCTTCACCCTTTTTTATTGAGGAAGTACTTGTTTCCAGTTGTAATGCTGGTCCACTTAGTGTATGTTCTGTAAGCAATGACAACTGGCACTGGCGTTCATTAACAACAGGCTGACTAGATTCAATAGTTCTCCTTTTTTGTTTGCACATAGCTTTGGAGATGCATTGCTTTTCATTCACAGGCAGAGGTGTTGAAGTCAGTGGCTTATTGCTGAAGTATTGTTTCATAAGGTCAGCATTAGTCCAACTATTCCTTTTCTCTCTTTCTTTTTTGATGGCAGGACTTTTTGGTTTGGAATCCATATGTTTTTCTCTCCGCACTGTTTGGTGAGAATGATTTTCTACACCAAAATTCTGACCGTCTGTGAAAATCACAAAATACAATAGTAATTGATTTCGTTTTTGCCCTTATTTTACAATAAACTTAGCACAGAATTTTATTAAGTTTACAGAATTATTGTTATTATGTGAAATGAAATCCAGTATAAAGGGTCAGATCATCAAATAATTATGCATTGACTTAAGAGGGACAACTCACATGCCTAAAGTTAAAGTGTGTGTTTGAGCTTGTAGGATAAGAGTCACAGTCAGTATTTTTCACTTTAAATTACTATGTTCTCTATTTGCAAATTCTCTTATCTGTCATAAATGGTTAGGACTACAGATGAGCTTGAGCCACTAAATTCAAATTTGGATTCACACTTCTCAAAACGTTGATGTAATTTGCATGCAGAATATTAATTTAGCCAAGCTATTAGAGGTAGGGAGTACATGTGAAGTACAATTCTCTAAACTTTGGAAACAATCCGGAGCCAAGGTTGTAGCTCAGACTCAACTCCAAGTAAGATGCGAGTAAGTAAAATTAAAACAATGATTCCATATGTGAATTCAACTTTTTTTTGCTACAATGTCAACATTGGTAGATGTAAACGTACTGTAAATTATCTTCAGATTATCTTCATATTTTTTCATTACAGAACCAAGATAATGTCAGAGTTAAACATTTTTAAAATTACACCTCAAATTTATCAAAGTTGTTAGTTTTAAGACAACCAGATGGGATGACAACTAATCGTTTAATCTCCTGAGCTAAGCTTATATATATTTGTGAGAAGTGGCCATTTTACAGCACAGCACTTCATAAATTATTTTTTTTAACGTGTGTCTCTTTCAAAAAAAAAAAGGCACGATTTTACAGCCTACAGAAAAATATCAGTTCTGAGAACTGTTAATGAAGTTTTAACATGGGAAATAAGCATACTTTTCTTTGTTGCCATGCTGTTACTTGATTGACTGGATGCTGTAGGATTAACTGTGTTGATTGCTGTAGGCGAATGAGCTTCCAGGACCAAATTCTGCACCTTACTTTCAACAGGAACATCTGGTGACAGACGAATAGATGCCTCCCATAACGAAGTTGGTGACAGATCTTTTGAACTTGAATGTATGAGCAGAGATTCATTATTACACTGGGTTGAAGAACCAGCACCCACTTGATTTTTTTTAGCAAATGCATCCAACGACTCAAGTGCAGTACTAAAGTTCTCATGGTGCTGGATTTGTTGACGAACCCATTTGGATAATCCTAATGGGAAAAAAAATTGGTACATTACAACCAAACTTACTTTATCTAGATTATATACAGTAGCTATTTCAAGTTACTAAATTGGGCCCTGGTCCTGCAAATACTTACACATGTTTAGTTTCACTCATGGGAATAGTCAGATTGACTTCAGTGGAACTACTCCTGTGAGTAAAGTTAAGCATGAGATTGTTTACAGGATTGAAGTCTTGATTTATTTATAGCTTTCTATTAACATTTTTCAAAAACTAGAGTACAGATGGTGTTATCATTTGGTTTAAAAAATTTTCTACCCCATCTTCTCATTTTTCACCTACCCTTCTCTTAAAATAAATTTAAACTGATATCTACTGTTAAGGACAGCAGCAACGCTGAAGCCTTCCAAAATGTCACTACTGTTGTCCTTTGATATCCGGGTAATGTTTCTCTTGCTTTCCTTCCTGTGCTATTAATTTAAAGATCATGAATGATTACAAGAGGAATTTATGTATAGACTATATGTTTATTACAGCTGTATCACTGCATGACAAAAATCTAGCAGTATTTAAATAGTTTGCAGGTTTTGCAGATTAAAAAACAGTGTTAGATTTTTTTGAAAGAATCACAATCACTTAATACTTCCAAAAATATCATACAAGATGCTCACATGAACCAATATTAATTTTTATAATTATTGTATATCAGAAATCTTAAACAAACAAATGTTTTGATGAATCTGGGAAACTGAAGATTGAGAAAATTAATTTTCATAAACATTAAAAATACACCTTTTAATCCCTTAAAAATACTCTATATTAGAAAAGGTTTTTTAATTAGCTTTTATTCTTTGAAAAAAAATATTTCTCTTACCAAATTCACAAACTCTTAGTGTGAGTGTGTAAATTACAATACTCTGCTTTCTCCCTTTTGTTTCCTCTCTTCAGTTATCTAAGCATTTGCCTAATACAAAACAACATGTCAGAAAACTGCTTATATGGCAGAATCTGAGCTCCACCTGCTGACTGGACACGAAAATTCTCTCCTTTACATTATCCTTTGACTGTGGTTGTTTATAAATGGAGACGGGGCAATGAAGCTATGCAATCTATTCCTAAGAAATTTCTCCTTGACTAGTGTCATGTAAGCCTTATTTTTGCTTTAGCTGCATTAATTTTACTAAACATGAAGAAACTGAATTGATCATGACAGCACAAACAAATGTTCAACGATGCTATGAAAGGAATGGTGGTGCCTCTACCTGTTCATGTCTACAAACCAGCTGGTTAAACCTCTAACTGCTAACATTAGCCCCTGCAGTTCATTATGGGTGCAAAACTACTCATACAAATGAATGAAAGTCAGTACCTTTATTTTTATATTTACCATGGATAATAGTTCTTAAATATGTTATAAATTTCATTTTGGAATATGTCAGTTAAATTCTGTAAATTGAAGTTTCCTCAACAAATCTTACTACCAGCATGTTCTGAATGGGAATTAAATTAAAATAACGGAATGACTAATTTGTGTGTTTCATTGCATTTTAAGCCTGACACCCAGAAGCAGTGTTTTACAGTTGTTCAGAATTCTAGCTGCACAACCACAGAACCGAGTTTAATGGACATATTTTGTTATAGCCTCCCCCCACATAACAGATTTATTTGGGAAATCACCTCTTGAAGCCTAGATTTCCCAACTCAACATCCTAATACTAGGATCTTTCCCAGGAGAATCTGAATATCTTACCAGTTATGTATTTATTAGGGTTACTCCTGAAGCGATCATCAACTAACACAAGAGCACCCCAATCCTTTTTGTGACGAATACACCTACAGGAGAACAATGAAAAAGAATTATAATTAAATAAAATAGCATCTAAAACTGGAAACTATTTCTCTTTTGCATACAGTTGGAAGCACAAAAGATGTGTCAGATGTGCTTTCCTGAGCTCCAACAAAAGGGATATCTGTCAGAGAAGGAATGTAAAAACTACACCTCTACCTCAATATAACGCTGTCCTCGGGAGCCAAAAAATCTTACTGTGTTATAGGTGAAACCACGTTATATCGAACTTGATTTGATCTGCCGGAGCACGCAGCCCCGCCCCTCCGGAGCGCTGCTTTACCGTGTTATATCCAAATTGGTGTTATATCGGGTGGCGTTATATCGGGGTAGAGGTGTATATCAGAAGACAGTTAAGCATAGAAACTGTTTTTTCACACAATTCATAGAATCACAAGAGTGACCATTTGATGACACAAACTAGGAGGTCACACATTATTTCACAAACTGAGCACTTGATGTCTAATAATTACAACAGATGTTATTTGTTTGGCAATCTACTGTTGTGGGAAAGATAGGATAAGTACTGAAAGGAGAGTATAGAAGAATGTAGGGGAAGGTATGGGAATGCACTGAGTGTGGTTGTACAAAGCTTTATAGAACTATGTACTTGTTTCAGTATTTTCTGGCAAGGTTTTAATAAAATAACGTTCTATACAAAGAAAACATCAAGATGCAAGGTAATGATGGCTGTTGACTTTGTAATTAAAAGTTTGTTAAAAAGTGGCATTCTGTAACAATCCTGAAGTGCCACTTTATATGAATCAATAATTATTTTTATAATACATTGACCTTCTACAGTGTCTTTCAGATAAGGGTTTTCAAAGAACTACACAAAAATAAATGAACTGGACCACACAATCCCATGAGAGATACATAAACATTATTATCCTCATTTTACAAATTAAGGAAAACTGAGGCAAAAAGTATCAGGGGGTAGCTGTGTTAGTCTGCATCCACAAAAACAACAAGGAGTCCGGTGGCACCTTAAAGACTAACAGATTTATTTGGGCATAAGCTTTCATGGAAGAAAAGGAAAGAAGAAAAACCTCACTTCTGAAGAAGCGAGGTTTTTTACCCACGAAAGCTTATGCCCAAATAAATCTGTTAGTCTTTAAGGTGCCGCCAGACTCCTTGAGGCAAAAAGAAGTCTGATTGGATATACAACGTCACTGTGTCTAGAGATGGGATTAGAATCCAGATCTTCTAATTCACAGCATCATAACTAGCTCAGCAAAGAATTTTTTCTTGAATATCTTTAAAGCCTCCCATGAAAGAAAAAACGAACAAAACAATTCAAGGCAAAAGATTCCTTCCGAGCTTTTCATTTTTTAATGCTTTAATAAGTGCTGTTTTAACTTGCCATTTAAATGAATTATACCCACTGGAAACATATCCCACATGTTTAGTAAAGCAGCATTGCAAGGAGTTCATCGCCCAGTTGTCACCTGGTCATACACACCATCTGGTATATTCCCAGAGGTTGTTATTACATTTCAGGGACTTATGTTACTTCATATACGGTAACAGCACTATATTAAGAGAAAAGTGCCAGATTCAAGACTAACATGCTTCTGCTCACTTTAATCCCTGGCAGGACTCTTTTACAGAAAGAAGCTTGCCTATCTGCGGCAACCACTTTCTAGGACTGTCAGCAAATACTATATTTTGATTTATATTCTCTTTTTATAAATGCACTGAAATGTACTGGCTTTTCTTTTCCAAGGCTCAATATAATAAAATCTGGGTCAAATTATAATATAAACCAGAATTATTCTCCCTTGCATGCAAGTGAGCCTTTTCCAAATACACCAGTAGGGGAGTCTGTCTTTCCCTTTCAGCTCAGGTTAAAGTGCATCCATTTAAATGGTTAGTCATACAATGAAGACCTTTCATTAGCAACAGATTTTAAGTGGAAAATGTCTATATTTTTAGACAGACAAAATATCCTGTATACTACACAACCAAACTCTCTTCCTCAAACTCACTTCCTTCAGTAAGTCTTCCATCACTGATCACCACTCTTGCACCCTCCTGGAACTAAAATTTTTTATTTTTAAATTACTCTCACTCCCCAAAAGGAAATTAACAAGATAGATATCTAACAATGAGTATGTATCATGATCTTTTACTATTCTCCACCATATTCCCCCAATCCCTTCCCCACCCGTTATATATATCCCTCGCATGCTGTATTAAGTCAAATTTAGGGTACTTCTGCACTGCACACTTCTCTCGGTGCTGTGTATGTAGAGTACATACCTGCAGAGCCCCACAGCGTGAGAATAAACAGCAGCATAGCGAGTGAGGCATAGCTTAGGCAAGAAGAGTAAAGACACGTCTGAAGGGTGGAGGTATGTATGTGAGTACAATACTATATAGGCTCTATTCACCCAAACTGTGCCTCCCCATCTACACTGCTAATTTTGGCAGTATAGTGTCCTGCTGCTGGAGCCATTCCCCTCTGCAGGAAAGACTCCCCCCAGTGGGGAAAGGCTCTGCCAGCTTCCACTGCTGGAGCCTTTCCCTGCTGCCGCCACACCAGAGCCTTTCCCTGCTGCCAGAGCCTTTCCCTGCAGTCAGGGAAAGGTTCTGGCAGCAGGACACTATACTGCTAAAAATAGCAGTGTGGATGTGGGAGGTGGTGCTTGGGCATGTAGAAAGCCAATATATACTCTAGGTTTCTAGTAGGTCTCCACTCGCTGAAGCAGTGCCTCACTGGCTACACGGCTATTTATACCCATTCTCGCTGTGGGTTTAGTGTCTCTACTCTATATGCCACTGCAAGTGTAGACCTCACCTCAGATTTGACCACAATTAGTTGCAATAAACACTACTCTTTCAGAAAGTCTCAGTGACAGCAGTCATGCCAAAATGAACGCAGTTACCATGCAATCTCTTTAAAGCAGTACTGAGGACAACAGCTTGGTTAGATTCTCACTCCCCAATCTTTGTTCAGCACAAACATCAGCTTGCCAAATATCTTGCCACTTGATTCGCAAGACGTCCGTCCAGTTTTAACCATGTTAGTTGTTACAAGACTTTTGGTCCATAGAGTACTCAGGGCAGAAATATTTACAAGGCAGGAATTATCGTTCAGAGTTATTTACTTTGAAATGAAAGATACCCACTGACTTAAGCATCAGTCGGAAATCTTTGCATTTGATTCTTCCATGGCCCTAACTGCTCTATAAAATATGAAAGAGTTCCTGAATTTAAAAGGGCAATACAGTTTCCTAATTAGTATTTGCTTGATGTGTTTATGGCAACCCCTTACAATTAGATTTTACTGATGCCTATCTGAAGAAAGTAGAAATCTGAATATCTGTATTTTAAACAATTCCAAGGATAACATGAAGATGACGTGCAAAAATACCTCCAGTGCTAAGAATGAGGGACTGATCATGCTCGAGAAAGGAGTTTAAAAATGAAAATATTTAAATAATATTCAGTTTCTCTGACCTGCCCAGTGCCTGGTTGAGAGCTCTGTAAGCTTGAATTTCATACCACTGGCTACCTGGTAAAAGGCCTCTTGTCTTTGAGTGCTGGTCATTGTATTTCCTCTTTAACTCAACCTAAAAATAAAGTCAAAATATTATTTTAAAATATTTCCTTTTGCAAAATTATATAGGAAAATGAAAAACAGAACAAATTGGTTAATCAATTGGGTATGAGAGAGTGAGGGAGGAGGCTGTTAGGTAGAACACTGTGTTAAAAAAATCTCTTCCTTTCCAGAGGAAATTTCATCCAAGCCCTGCTTAAACCACAAGTGAAAGTGAGTTTGGTGCCCATCTCAGACCCTATTTGTTCACAACAAACCACTACTAACCAATTAAGAATAATGACCATTCTTTGCTTAAGATTAGCCTAGTGCTGTCTCAGACTAAAGGCAGAGCTGCGTGCCTGGTAATAGCTAATATTAGTGTCATTTGCATAAGAACCACCGTTCATCAAATATAATTGAAATAATATTTTAATGCTAAGCTTCTAGCTCTCATTTTGCAAAAATATCATAAAATCCATAATTGAAAGTTTTATCACAAATTTTTGGAATGTGCAAAGTAGAGATAATTTTGGACATGCGTTTTACTGTATAGACTCATCAGTGTTTATATATTTCAGTTGTACAGTAAGTGTTGATGCTGTAATTTCTAAAAAATACAGTTTGAGTTTAGGACCTATTTTCCAGTCTTTGAGAAATTACAGATTAGCTTATCAACAGTTCTAATAAAAGGCAGTAAGAATTTTTATATATTCTACATAAAGTTTACAATACTGAACATTGTTTCAGTTGAACATTGTAAAGGATTTGTGTAATCACTCTGAGCTTTTATGTCCACAAATATAAATTGTATCTACTTAACCATGAATGATCTAAAACACTGCAATATCCAAAACTTACTTGATTGATTGCTCTCTATTAAAATTCTAAATAATATTTCTGTTTTTCAGGTATAATTCATGTTCTTCACTCTGCTCATTTTACTCATACGTAATATGTGGTTCACTCAGTAATAGCTTATCACTCACAATACAGTAATCATATCTTTATCCAGACCTCAGTGGCCTGCTGGGAAAGGATGGATAATCACTAAAATTGGTCATTTCCATCATTTTCAAGTAGTAGTCTTAGGCTAGGTCTACACTACCCGCCTGAATCGGCGGGTAGAAATCAATCTCTCGGGGATCGAATTATCGCGTCTCGTCGGGACGTGACAATCGATCCCCGAATCGACGCTCTTACTCCACCAGCGGAGGTGGGAGTAAGCGCCGTCGACTGGGAGCCGCGGAGGTCGATTTTGCCGCCGTCCTCACAGTGGAGTAAGTCGGCTCCGATACGTGGAATTCAGCTACGCTATTCGCATAGCTGAATTTGCGTATCTTAAATCGACCCTCCCCTGTAGTGAAGACCTGCCCTAAGACTGAAAGGCACTATGACTCCTGCCATGCTATACAACACCATCCTCGTTTCATTCCTTACAGCAGGCACCAGAGTATTCCAGTTGCTAAAATCACATACCATCCAAGCTTACCAGGCTACCGGAACACACCTACTTGTATCAAACACAGCTAGTTTCTGTCAAGGAATACATAACTGACAGACATGTGCAATGGTTTAATATTGGGAGTAATTCCCTGAACACCTGGCAGAACTGCAGAAAAGAAAATGTATGCAGTGTAGTTGTAGCTGTGTCAGTCCCAGGATATTAAAGAGACAAGGTGGGTGAGGTAATATATTTTATTGGACCAACTTCTGTTGGTGAGAGAGACAAGCTTTTGAGAGGAGGGACTTGAAGAAGAGCTCTACGTAAGCTCGAATGCTTGTCTCTCTCACCAACAGAAGTTGGTCCAATACAGATATTACCTCACCCACCTTGTCTCTCTAATATTCTGGGACGAAGAAGTCTAAAACACCACAGCATACATGGAAAGTAAATGTAATATTTGGGGTGTGGGCAAAGGAGGGAACACTTCTGAAGTACTAAGATGTTTTTTAAAAAAAGAAAGGGAGAAAGTAAATGAAATAAATAATAAATTTTTGCTCTATAACCTGAATTCAAAGGCATTTCTTTACATAAACCCTGGACTGCTGGAACAGCTTTGTAGTATGCTGCCAGCTAGAGAAGAGGGCTAGGGTCTCCAGGGCCGGGGTCAGTAAGGAGTGGTAAGCCTCCTGGAGGAAGAAGCCAGCTCCTCCAGGTAAATGGAACCTCTCCTCACTAGTCAAGGAGCAATGCTGATATCAATTGCAAGAGAAACCCCTTGCCGTCCCATTTCAAACAAGGGGATAATGCTTGTTAAAGGTCCATTCTGAGAATGTGCAGAATGATCTCTTATTTGGAAAATATATCCAGCTCCAATATATATTTTCAAAATGTATTGGTTTAAAAAAGACATAAAACTACACAAGAAAGGTTCTTTTCACTGCTCTTTTGCACAGTATTAACCTTTTTAAACTGACATCTGAAAGGACACGCTTCAGGAGAGAAAACAGCAGACTTCTAACCACATCTGACAGGTAACTTTCAACTTGAATTTGGGTAAGAAATTTTATTTTGTGTACTTATGCCCTTTGAAACAGCCTGTCAAATTTACAAATTCAATCTTTACAGCCAGAAAGTAAATTCAGTTTGATTTCACAGATTTAATATTTGTTCCAGTCACTCAGAATTTATTGACTGGTGCATAAGGTTTCCTTTGTTATTTTTGAAACACACAGAAGCCTTTTCCCCCTAAATAGTTTGTAAACATTCATATAATTCTTCACAAAAAAATTTAAACTGAAATTACACATATCTGTGTATTACCATACATATAACTGCAGTTAGAATAACCAAAGACAGTACTTTTAAAGGATTTCAGATGGAGAATAAAATTTAGGAAACAATCTAAGTAGTGGGTAAAGCTAAATGAATATTTTAAAATATGAAATAGTCACAAAGTTCTTCTGAAAGTATTTCATAATTCTCTTAATCTCATGATAAATTTCTCAACAGAATTTCTTCAACAAAGTCTTTTGTCAACATTAATACATTTATCATTTCTATAGTTTCTTGCTACTTTGAAAGTCTTAGTAAAGCAATATTAGAATAACTTGTCATTCTGTTTTACATCAATTACAATTATTGCAGGCAGCGTCACATCTACACACAGAGGTATATTCATATAAATAGAGTCAGCGAAAACATTGTCCCATCAGATAACAAATATTGAGGTCTATATATTAACGTAAGAGATATTAACCTCTCAATTATATGAACAATGGATGACAAAAAAACTAAGTATTCCGTTTCTCTCACTCTAAAGATCAGGTTTCAGCATGAAGTGACTATTTAGATTGCTGAGGGTTAAGGATTCATTATAAGTCTAGTAAAGGTAAAAGGCCAGTGCATGTCATTTTAATCCAATCAGAATCTATTTCATTGTATAACTCTGCATTATCAGGCATCAAATCAACACCCAATTCGAAATGACATGATGCATATGTGAAAAAGCCAGTCTCTCCTGCTAGCAAATATCCTAAATGTGCAGTAAACCACAGGCTAGAAGGGATTAGTTAAAATGTCAAAAGACAGCCTTTTACTTTTACCTGTTCATCCTTAAAAATATACTCTTAGCTATCAGGCATGCTTTACAGACAAATAGTTTCAACAAGCAGCAGCAGAAGGCCTATGGCAAGCTCTGCCATCTTGCAGCTGTCACAGAGATTAGTCTTTGATCTATCTGGGAGGTCATGGTCACAGTCACATTAGCTGAAGTCTAACAACATTATACCTGTTAACTACTCGTTCTTTTAATGCTTAATTGGACAGACTTTCCCATTATGGAAAGTTTAACTGGGAAATTTGCTGAGTTTCAACAAAAACTAAATGACATAAACAAACTTTGCTTACTGTGATTTGGAAAGATTTTGTGGCAGTTTATATTACAATTCAAGTGTATTTTACAATGCTTTCCTAAAGCAGAAGGCTAATAATAGAGCAAGCTAAAAAGCATTTTATTAGACAAGCTCTTTTGGGGATGGTGTTGAAGGGTGATGGAGAATGGTTTAGGTGAAATGAGAATGCTTCACCTGTGAAGACCTGGATTCATCTTTGATTCAAGCGATACAAGAAATAATAGCCTTGCTAGCCCATGGTGAAAACAGCATTAAACTACTCCATTATTGGCCATGTGCTGAGGTGATGCTTAGGAGAGTAACTGGGGTGTGGCAGGTTAGAGTGGAGGTTTATTTACAGAGTTACATGCAGAAACCTGTATAGTGTCTTAACTTGCACTGTGTTAGAGAGCAGCACATTTATTTAACTTAACAAAACCCAAAACATTTTAATATATAACATTAGGGCATGCAAATAGCAGCTTATTATGAATTAATAGCTTCTGGAGAAAAACAATGGTGGGATGATCTAGCCACAGCAACATTTTATCCTTTAAATTGTGTACTTTCAGTTTAATGTTCGGTAAATAAAAAAAGGTTTCCCTTTATGGCAGTTTCATATAAAACTGAGGTGAATATAAGTGCATATGACACTAGAAGTTTAAGATACCATCACATAAACAATATGTATGAGAAATATTACACTGTCTTATTCACTCATGATAAGCTCTTTAGGACTAAGAGTTCAACCCATAAATAAGAGTAAGAACTAATCTGTTAAAACTACTGATTAAAACTATTAAGAAAACTTTACTTCAGTAAAAATAAACACATTGTCCACCAGACACTCATGCAAAATGGTTTTATCTTCAGCCAAGGATAGGGCCTTAGACCTAAACAGTTTATAGCAAAACCAAACTGGAAGAGAGAGAATGTGCATTAGGAGCGTTTACTATTCAATATCAGCATACCATAAACACATGTATCAGTATAAATATCACAATATAAATTTCAATGGCTAAACTAAAGTACAAGGTCTTGTATGCTGAGTAACTTAAATAGACAAAATCAGTATGGTTGTGTTTTATTTTATCTGGCATATTTTCAAGATTTTTAGAGGCAGTATTTTATTTAACCAAATGCAGTGCTATATTTTGCTAAAATGGAAAAAAAAAAAACCAAACTGGGTCTCTGCCA